TTCATCTTGCCTGCTTCCAAAAAAACGCCTAATGTCTCTACAGTGGCATGATAATTTCTTAAATGTGTGCCATATTAACGTGGAGTGCCATATAGAAATGTAATATATACCCCCAGACATGAAAAAAGCAATTTGAATTTCGTCAAGCGGCACAGTACAACGAGAGATTTATAACTGTCCCCCCTTTCTTTTTCGCAGTGTACATTTGACGTATAAATAAAAAAGAATAGCCAGAAATATAAAGATTAAAATACTTTGCTTAATATTTCAGCATGCTTCAAGTTTCTGTAAATACAAGAGATAGAATTATCAATTCTAAAGATTATACATTCACGATTTAATTAATCTGACAACAACGCATACACAAAAGATCGTGTTTTAAAACATTTCATACTTTTCAAGAAACTAGGTATGCTGTGTTTGTAGCAGTATGCTCCAGTTGAAAAAAATTATTAATTCACAAAAAGTGTGCAAATTACATTAAAAAAATTTTAGAAAAAAATATATTGATAATCATAACATCAAACTGATAAGAAACAAATTAATTTTCTATTTACGTTTCCATGTTTTATCAGTAGAAACTAGAATACAATAGTTAACTGAGGCGGTTTTCATTTCTTAAGGGGACTCATACACCTTAAAACCCATAACATCTTCCAATATGTGACTGTTGCAAGAATTGGGATAACTTATTTATTTTAAAAGCAATTACTTCCAACATTTTACAGCTGACTACATAATACAGCTACTTTCTGAAATAGTAATCAGAAAGTTTCTGTTGCCATAAATATTTTTATAATTTAATCCGCTTTGTGACAAAATTTTTCGCCAAGTTTCCACCTTGCGCGCATAGTTTAAAACATTCTGTTGCATAATTTAATTCCATATTTAATATATAGCTTTTATAACATTTGGAAACTACTGTGAACCTAAAATTCTAAGAATTTCATGTTAAATTTTTATTTTATTTGGAGTTGAGTTTATAAAATGTATTTTATTAAAAAAATCTGTAATGTTTTCGAGCATATTTTTTTTAATACTAAAATATTTATCAAATTTTTGGTTCAGTTAGAAAATAGTGCCCATATAAAGAATTCCATCAAATTTCAAGTATGTACCATTAGCCAATTTTAAAATATCATGCGCGCAAGGTGGAAACATGATAAAAACTTTTGTCACAAAGCGGATTAAATTACAAAAATATTTGTGGCAACACACACTTTCTGGTTACTAGTTTCTAAAGCAGCTATATTATGTAGTCAGTTGTAAAACGTTGGAAGTAATTGCTTTTAAAATAAATAAAATATCCCAATTCTTGCAACAGTCACATATTTGAAGATCATAAGGGGTTTAAGGTGTATGAGAGCCCCCTTAAGCAGGGCAAAGTGCACCTGTCAATGAATCTTTCCATCAACAGTACGTTGTGAAAGGGAAAGCAAGCTTTACAGGAATGTTAGATTTGCACCACTACCGATTCTACTTCTATTTCTCAATTATACCGATTTCCCTTCCCAGAATCTTTGAAGTAACAGTATAAATATAGAAAACACCTCATGTATATTTAATATTAAAAAATAAAACAATTTACAGAGGAAAAAGGGGGAACATTTTATAAAATGCTTCAAGATACCATAAGGATTTTAAAAATTAATACTGTTAACTAAACATTACGAGAGTCACGGAGGGCAGTTTGCATTACACTGAATCCCAAGGAGAAAAATTGATTTCGACATGATTAAATATTTAATTAGAAATTTTCGCTAAGGGTTAGTATTGCACAAAATCAACACTAACGATTATAAAAACAGTTGTATATTTACTAACTAGCTACGCGCTATTTTCTCAAGAAATCCTTTACGTACCAGAAAAGGAGGAAACGGAAAGAATAAGGAACCAAGAAAAGAAATTTTTCAAGATTATTTGCCAGTAAAAATAACATTACTCAACACTACTTGTGGGTATTTTACAGCCCTATTTACCAGTGAAAATTCAAGCCAATTTTTTTTAAATCTTACTTTTAAAAAATTAATTTTTTTTAAAATCTTTCCTAAAAAAAAATTTTTTTTTTAAAAATTTTTGTTCAAATATCATTTCTCTCTATATGTGTGTGCGTCCAATTTTGTAAAAAACTTTATAATCTTTAAAAGCTTTTTAACCACCGTATATTTTTTAAGCTAATTACTAATCAGATCTGTTTGCAAGGCAAGAAAGATAGTTTTTCATTTAAAATTTTTTAAGTTTCGTTAACTTAAGGGAAATGATTAGACAGAAAAATTACTCCACTTGCATTACCTGAGACGTATCCAATAATATGAATACAACTACAACTTAATTATAAACTGATATTTTTCGAAAGCTTGGTTTATTTGATTATGGCAAAGCACACGAGAGCTAATTTAATCTTCTACATATTCTTTATTTTTCTTACATATGTATGTTTATGTCATTCCAAAAGCGTCCCAATTTTAAGTCAAAATAAAAACGGAATGTTTCTCTTTCAATTTGCCTTCTTTTTATAGCACTTTTTGCGAAATACCGCCAGCTACGGCATTTGAATCACAGAAAGGAATTTTAAACATGGAATATATGCATGATACATCAACTACAGAGAATTACAAAAGAATGCACATACGCATATTTATCTTATTACGCAAGATCAATTAACGGCTAACTAATTATACTAAATGTAGCCTGCTTAAGGAACAGATGATATATACTAATATGAAGTTTGCCTATTAAGTATTCAAGAATCTGATGCGAACAAGATAAAATATTTATGTTTCTGCCGCCCAAAGTAACAAGCCTTATTTTACTAACAAACAAAATAGTTACCCCGAATATAAATATGAACTGCGAAATCATTTTATATGTATATGTGTGAACTTTGAAGGAAGTACCCATGATTTCCAGACACAATTCTCACTGAAAAACATAATCTTTACTTTTCCTTTTGCTTGTGAGGATGTAAAGAACATTACTTTACGTGGCTGTTAACACAAATTGCGGTCTGTGATCATGTTCGCAGATGACGAGTAGAATCACGAAGATTCTCAGGCCATTAAAACTTTGCGCCAGGGCCCGACATCTTGGATTTAGTTACATGTTCAAAGAAAATTAGTATTATTTACGAGGAGAGGAGACGCAGGCTTGGGTGATTGTATACAATTCTGTTCCAGTTACACTTTTTCAAGATGACGACGAAATAATTGGACATGTTTAAGGAAAGGAGAAAGATGGTGAGAACAGACAGAGCAAGAAAGTTTCGAGGAAGGCCGCTGATGAAGAATTGCATACTTTCAAAAGATTTGCTGAAAAATGTTCATCTGTAAGTGTGCAAATCATATTATGAAGCTTCATTGCATACACAGCGAATTTTTAAAATTACGGCGACGATCGCAAGCATGCAGACAATCGAAGTTATATACCACTACACTAAGAAATTTGTAATTTTCAGGTGATAATACGGTAATTTTAAAATGTTGTATTTCTGAAATATAAAATTACGTGTATAAGTTTTATTGGCCGATTGATCAGAAACACTACCGACGGATTTCGTACGCTGCAATTTCTAGAGATGGCATTACAAAATATTAACAAACACGTTCCAAAAATATATATTAAATTATCCGATAAAATCTCTTATTCGGAATCGGCAAGATCCCGCTGCTACGGATTAAAAGGAATTCTATTTTATATAGCTAACTTCATGTAAAAATGCTCTTTCCATCCTAAGAAGTATTATTGTTGAGAAGATATATGATAGATTAAAATTTACTTTTCTGGAAATAAGCCTAATTTAAATATCAAATTTTTACATATCACACATGGCAACATGAAAAAAAAAATTACTCCAATCTTTAATAAATACGATATTTGTGAGCATTGTACTGAAATGTCTAAAAGTAGCAAAGTGTGATAGGATATTTTTTGATGATTTTAAACTTGCCACCTTTATTTATTTTTCCTTCGGGGGGGTGGCATGTGCTACGAAAACACAATATTAGAGAAAATAATGATATAAAAAATGCTGAATGCATTTAAAACTTTTTTTTTTTTTTGTATTTTCCTCTTTTATTTTAAAATTTATTTCCATATTAATTGCTTGATAAAAGCAGCGCTTTTTTGGCTTCATTTCACTTAACTGCAAAATGTGATAACATATTTGACTTAAACTTCATAATTTAAATTTTCAATTTCAAATTCAAAATTTAACAATTCAAATCATAAAAACATAATAAAATAAAGAAGGAGTTTAGTAATTGCAAAAAAATACTAGCATAAAGAACATGTTTAATAATTGAAATCACAATGTATTTGCACTATTTTCTACTTGTTCTGTTTTCTTGTTCTATTTTTTAGTAAAAAACTAAGCTACTTATACGACTTCAATTTTCTATAAAGCTTATGAAACTTATCCCTTCATGAGATCAGATATAATTTTGATTTTAAATTGGAAAAAATTATAACTGAAATTTAGAAACTGATGAAAGGCAGAAATTATGCCAGCTGCTTGTACATTGCATATTATTATAAATACCTTTTCTATATTTAAGAAACTATTGTGATACGTGTGATTGAACGTAAGTGATTAGAATTAAATCTTTATTTTATGCAAAAAGTATAAATCTTAATTCCGCAACAAAATTTTGTCTTGGTATTATATCTAATATTGACATTAGTTTCAATGATGGGTTGCCTTCGTTGATATAAAGATTAGTGAACATTTATCACGACAAAAAATAAAATAAATAAATAAATAAATAAATAAATAAAAAGTTTATTGAACTAGAATTCACAATTTTAAAGTCTGCTTAGCCATTAGCCATCGAATTATTAATATTAAAAGTTTCTATCAGTTAAGTGGCATGGACTATTTCAGTTCTTCTTCCCCCCCCCCCCCCAACAGGATCTTTCGCTGCCCTCGGATTTAAAAAGAATATAGTCTCATGTCAGTTAAAAGATCTCCATAAATTAAACGAAACATTTTCAGGTTTCTTGTATTTTAAATAAATGACACTCTTACAGAAACCATTTATTTATACTTTTTGTGACATTTCTTGTCTCGTTGCATATGAAATTTATTCCATCTCGCTCTGAAGTCAGAATATATTTTTCAAGTCTCAAATCATAATCTTCTTCGAGAATTATCTCCTCCTGAGAAAGTATCATGCTATTATTTTGCCAATTTTGCTGCACAACGCTTAAATAATCCTTTTCAAACAGGAAGCTCATCATTTGCCTCAGTTTTTGATACAGCCGGGTTCAAATCGGGATTCCATTTTTAAAATTAGAGGTGTCACAGCCCTATGGAAAACAATCAAAAAAACGGCAAGGAAAAAATAAATAAATGAAAACGAATAAATCGAATAATGAACAATGAAAATTAACAACATAAAAAGAAATAAAACATCAATAAATTAGGTATACATAAATGACTAAATAAATCAAACACAAAAATTAACAAAATAAATCAAACAAATGACAGATAAGTAAAATAACACATTACCGAGGAATAAAAAAGGAAAGTCAATATTTGAGCAATATTTAGATTGGCAGTTTGATAAAACTACTCGTTTACTTTGTCTTCTAATCTATTCAAAGCCTTTTTAATTTAATAACCTTTGGATGAGTACAGCACTTAAATGCCCTATTTCCTATATGGATCGCATTTTGACACTAGATTTTTCTTACCGGCTGTTCTGTTTGCCCGCATATTTTGCTCTTAAAATTTATTTGGTAGCTAGTGTTAAATACAATAGTTATTTACCAACTGCTTAAAGAAATACTGATGATTTTTTTTTTAAAATATAAATATGGCTCTCTGCTGATCCTGTGATTCAGCTTTAGTGCCATATGCCACAGCTCGTCTCATTTTCAGGCGATGTCTCTCAAAAACTGAGAAGTACAATGATTGAGATCCGGTGAACTTAAGCATAGATTCAAATTCCAGATAAGGCGTACGACGATGATGTTACCGACGTTTACAAATATGCCATCTCATATATGTTTGCGAATACATAGTCTTTGAGAAACGAACGAAGTCTCTTGAGAGTCAGCGGTACGAAAAGAAGGGCAAGAAATCCTCATATTCTAGCTTTTGAGATACCTCCATTCAAAACCAGTAGTGTCAACGAACAACATTGTACCAATACAGTAGAATCCCGCAAACTCGACTCCCAATATCTCGACAACGTTTTAGGAATTTCTTTAAGATATCTCTCGGCCAAATAGAGCAAACATTACATAGAGTACATATAATTATTATTAATGCGTATGTCTTTCCTGTTCTGTTCAAAGATTTGAAAGCCCTTTTTTCTGTAATTTTTGCCGTTTTCGTAATGTGCCATTCATTCTTGGAACTGCCTAGCAAATTTCAAGATATGTTGTAATACTTGGCAACGCTGTTTTGCTTCTTTCGAGGATACAAAGAAAGTCAGGTAGCGACTGGCCGCTGGCTCACATTCTTTTCTATTGTTGCGAAACTTTAGACTTGTCTGAAGTTTTGTTACTGCAGCTTATTGCAAACTAAACTCATACCAGTGCATTGCGGGTATCATTCCTAAGTTCACATCCAGGCGTATAAGTGCTACATATTTTTCGAAACTTTTGTGATTCTGTGAAGTAAAAATTCCGTTCGAAAACAAACTAATGTGACAATACAAATGAAACTAGATACCTTAAAGAGACCGAACAAAGGGGAAAAAACTAAACAAAATTACAATGAACTTAGGCGTTGGACGTCAAAGGGTTAAATTTTAAGAATTCTGATAAACCCACCCCTTATTCCGTAAAATTCGACAGTCTCTCAGTTCACACTATGTCAAGTTTGCGGGACTCTACTGTACCATTTATGTTTAAGGACTATAAACAATAGCAAGTCTACCCTTTCACTCGCCCGATATAATTGACAGCTTCATAGCTTGGATAATGAATTAGCAACAGTAACAAGTTTCATTTGTTTTTAATCTTTAGCATAGTAAAAATCGTACATTAAGTGTCAAAAATAATTTTTTTGAGAATTTCTATAAACGTCTGTTATTAAAATATTTAAGTAAGTGCATATAACTAATATAAATTTTCAGTTGTTGTAAACGATTATGCTGAATAAATACTGGGGGGTTCCTTTCAAAAATGAAGCAACTACGAGCATTGTCCTACGAGCATTTCCTAATATAATCAATTTGCTACGGTTACTTAAGATAATAAACGGGGTTTCTACTAGTTGGGCAAAAAGAATGATTTATTTGAATGTAGTTTAAAGGATAAAAATTAAAGTACATTTTGTTGTAAGATAGAAAAATAGTCCAAGTTTACCCTTAGCACTAACAAACTTGTCTTAAGCTGGTTAATTTCATTTGTTATTTCGGAAGTCAACTTACGAAATTGTCCAACTAATTTATAGACACTCTGATATGATACGAAATTGTCCAACTAATTTATAGACCCTGACAACTAATTTATAGTCAGTATACTGACTCAAGAAGCGGGAACGCCAATTACGCTCATTTTAGTGCTTGAAGACTGCACATTCACTAAAGGCATTAGAAGAAAGAGGTTTCGTTTCTCGAAAGAGAGACGTCCATCCAATTCAACCACTGGTGGGTTCAATAATTTATTAATTTCAACAAAGAATTACGCAACAAACAAACTGGAAAAATGTAGAGTATGATATATATTACACAAAAGCAAAAAATTTTGGAACTTTGTTAAAAAAAATTCTATTATAATAATGGTTTTACAATTCTTTTTAAAGAATTATGTGATCAACACCTTAATAGATGTAGTAAACATGATTAAAATCTATGCAGGGAAGTTTAAACAAGATCCATTATTGCACCATATCTGAGAAATTCTGTGTCATTTTATTACGGCTAAAAAATATGTTTTAATTTGTTCGTCTGAACGCATAGCAGTAGCGATTGCTTAGTGTCTAATCGTTCCATTAGCAACATTACCTCAGAAAAGCTTTAGATGCAAGCTGCAAAAAGCCACCAAATCATTTGAAGATTTTCAATGTTAATAAGTTAAGCACTATGTCAGTCACTGGTGTCTGACACTATATTTTCCATTCGGAACGCATCAATCATTGCTGACTAACGATATATAATTTTTAAAATTATATTCTTCAATTAAATTTTACACAGATCTCTGGCCAAATTTTAATCATTATAATAGCACCAATCAGTAATTAAAATCTATAAATAATTACTGAAGCTGAATGACCAAAAACGAAATTCTCCAAAATAAATAAAATTTTTCTGACCAATTCCATGGCGTGCAACAAACTGGGGAAAAAAAAAAAAAAAAAAAAAAAAAAAAAAAAAGCAAGTTTCAAATAATATTAACAGACAATCTCTCTTTTAGAATCCTACATCTCTTTTCAGTATTTTTCTCTACTATAATCTCTTCAATTAATAATTCTTTCCTAGTCCTTTGCCTTGAAATCTTTGCATCTGTTCTTTGTGTATTCTGCTTGACACTTTCAGACATCCTGTTTTATGAATTTTCTCTCATGATACCCAATGGTCGAAACAGCACCTGTGTAGATAAGTTATGAAATCTGTCCAGCTGACATACAAAGGTCATTCTTATAGGCTGCCGGCTATCATAAAATGATTCGGCAGAAACCATTTACTTTTACCGAGCCTATAACTATTTTAAATTCAGAAATAATCAATACATGACAAGAGAAGTCTTGTACATTTGATTTTTACGCAAACAATTACTTATTCTAATATTATATACAAGAAAAAATATACGCTTCACCTTTTCATCACATATTTTTGCGAAATAAGTAATTTTATTGAAAAGCATGATTTTAGTGTTGAAGAACTGGAATGGTATTCTGATCTATTTTTCCTGATGCCCATTTTTTTATTTCCCTTTATGCATACCAGTTTAAGATTTACCATACACAGAAAATAATTAAATTCTGAATTACTGATAAGCCAGTAGGTAATATTATGCAGATAAAATTATCACATTAAAAGGTAGTAACATCCATTATTTAAACTACACACAAAGTTACTTGGTGAAGAGTCCCATTGTAACATTTTCAGCTTTTTAAAAACTATAAAGTTTTATAATTTTTTGTGAATATACAGACTTTTATTTACACTGGTTTGGAAAGCGTAGCCAGATATTAGTTATGTTCATAATTTCAAAATGCATGACAACATGGTTTGAAGATAAATCTTTGTAAAATTTATTTCTTGACTGTAATAGGTTTTTACCTGCATTTGAAGGATTTTTCATGTTCAGGAACTTTGATAAGAATTTTCTGCAGTTTGATTTTATTAGTAAGAAAAGTAAGATGCTAATGATATCAATCAATTTCAGAATTTTGTGAATACTAAAATAAGGCAAAACAAATTGATGACTTTAAACATGCAACATTTAAAGGGTTAAAAAAATAATATTTGCATACTGAAAAACTCAAAAAACTCAAATTCAAAATGGCAGAGGAAGTCGCATAATGGTCAAAGTGACAAAATAAGGAATAATTTGGGAAAATAATATAATTAATAAAAGGGGAAAAATCAGTCACCCAGCATTAACTAAGCATAAATATCAGTCAGCTTATACAAATGATTTACAAATGCGAATTACTATTTTTTCTAATTATTATTGCTTGATTTCTATTTCAGCACTATAGCTATTTGCAAAAATTACTGGTATAATGTCACTTGTATAACATCAAACCATAAATGCAGTTAGATTGTTTAAATCCAGAGTACCATAAATACAAGCATATATGTTTAATTTAAAATAAGATCATATAAATTAATGAAGTTAACTATATTTAATGCGTTTTCTGACACAACAGAATTATACTTCAGTGACAAGATATAATGTACTGTGTAATTGTGTATAATGACATGATGTAATCTACTGTGTACATTTGTAAACGTACAACTATGCATATCTTCTGTTGAGTGACATAACTTAATAAGGAGCTAATATATTTCTTAAATGCAGCATAACTATTTTTAATGATGTAACAACTGTATACAGGTACACCTAAATTAAAATCAAAACATGCACATTTATATATACATTTATGTAGTTAATAATCATGTAAAATGAGCAAGTAGAACCTGCAAACTCAACACTCAGTAACTTAACATCCAGTGGAGACTATCAGTTCTTATTTTCACTATTCGATTCTGGAATGATTTAGTTCTTTAAAAAGGGGGTAATAATAGTCATTTATTTATACTTTAAAAATCAATTTTTTTATTATAACTACCTCACTTAGATTCCTGAAGGTGGAAAAACGATCAGTACTAAGTTTCTGTGCTGCT